ATCACTAGAAAGGGATCGGCCCAAACCGGAGCAAAAATTGCTCGAATGGGTGAGAAAATATCCGATCGAGAGTCGGAAATTCGCCACAATTATCGATCCCAGGCTCGAAAACAAATACTCGTTGATTTCAGCTCGTAAAATTGCAAAATTAGCCGATAATTGTTTGGTCAAAAGTGCCAAAGATCGTCCGAAGATGAGTGAAGTGGTTGAAATTTTGAAGCAAATAGTTCGAATTTCGGATACCGAAAGCAATATCGAGAGCCCAATTAAATACGTCGAAGGTGACGATGATCAAGAAACGGGCCCCGGTGAGGAGAAGGTGGGCCCCACTGAGTCGGCGAAAAGGCGTATGGCCCACTTGGCTAAAATAAGTGAAAACGGAGGCGGAGCGAATAGGAGGAGGTTTGTTATTATGCAGAGGGCAAACGTAAATACGGCGTAAAAAATGAATTAGAGTGTAGTCTTACTTAAAAAGAGATATTATTTTTTTTATTTTATTTTTTCGGGTTATTAGATTAGAGTCGAAAAAATAACGGAGGTTAATTAATTAAAACACGTGTTTTGTGCTAATTTGTGTCGATCGAAACGTGGGAATGTTTTTGTGGTCTGATTAGCTAACTTATTAGCTCTGTTTTTTTTGTGGAGATTAATGTAAAAAGATTTATATGACATGAACATGTTATAATCTAACTTTAATTGTCTTAGTTCTGCTAATTTTCTTCTGCATTGGAATTTTTGGTGTAATTTTTCTTGGGCAAATTACGGCAGACCCCCTCAGGTAATGTTAAATTATGAAAAAACCCCTCAAGTTTGGGTAGTTCCAATCACACCTTCTCAACTATGCTCAACTATGTATTGTCTAACGAAAAAACTTCTTTCAGTGTGTAAATTTGAAATCGTAAGGGTAGACGTGTATGACAATACATAGTAAAGGGGTATTGTTATAATTACTCAAATATAAAGAATTTTTTATATATATAATTTGGCCTTACATCAGATGAGTGACCGTAATTTGGCCATTTTTCCTTAAGGTGGATTTACGTGAGGGCTAACTTGGTCATTTCAAATAAATAAAATAGAAAATTTGAATACAAAAAGGAATTTGATTTATTCGTTCACATTTAAAATTGAATTTTTGAGATGAAATATTTGTCAAACTCTCATAAATGTTATTACAACCAATTGTATACGTTAATAGCATCAAAGTCTTGTACATAGTTACAATCGCCAATAATAGGTTGACAATTACTATGATATTAGTCTTTATTTTATTTTCTTTTAATTTTTTGCAAAAGTACTTGTATTCTAGAAGGAGCTATTGAAGATGTGAATTATTGACAATAATGCCCCTTCACTTCTAGAAGCTTGATTTTCAATCGTTCTTCCAATTTGTCAGGTAAATTACATCCACCCTTGGAGTAAAATCTATTTACATAAAAACCCCTCTGATGCTGTTCCAAAATGTTGGATCAGCCCAATGGTCTTGAAGCTCACAGGTCTCCTAAGTCCGGGAATCTTCAAGCCCAATATCGGGAATGTTGTTCCAAAATGTTGGATCAGCCCAATGGTCTTGAAGCCCACAGGTCTCCTAAGTCCGAGAATCTTCAAGCCCAATATCGGGAATGCCGAGAGTCCTTGCTAACGCCCTCCGACGCTCAAGTCAGAAAACTATCACAATATAAGCAAATAATATTAATTAATTGCCTAAATAGTGCTTACCCTACTATGTGGTTGATAATACATATTTATAGGTGGAGTTTGGTAAAGTTTTCTTGTAGAAAACCAATGTGGGACAAAAAACATTAGAGTTCTTCCCATAAGCTTCTTATGAAGTTCATAATTAAGGGCTTTTGTGTTGGATTTTTTCTTTGAATGAGCATCTTGGGCTTTTTGGGTTAAAGCCCAATTAGGCACATCACCCTCATATTTTCATAAATACATAATTTATAGATTTCTTACAATAATAGTCTTTTGTAAGATGGTGAATGTAAAAAAATT